TAAATGTAAATAACAAAACTAAATTGAAATTTTAAAACAAGCCCCAAATCAAATAAATAAGTAACAAATAAAATAAATCTCTTCATATAAACAAAATAAGGCTTTGTCTGTGCTCTTTCCTTTTAAAATTAGAGGCAACCACTGCATTTTAATCATGATCCAAACAAAGATGCAGCATACATGGAACACGAGCAGTTTTTAAACTAAATTAGATTGTATAATTTCGAAATTTGAAGCAAAAACAGAATAGTTTGACTTCAGTTTTGTGAAACTATACATAAAAATATCTGCATGAAAGAGCGGACGAGCTGAATAAGATGCAGATTCACTCTCTGCCAGCAGGTGGCGCTTATAGCGTTTCCTTAGTTTCCGCTGTAAACAAAGCAGCGCTGCACTTATGAACTTCAATATGCATTATACAGAGGCAAGAGGAAAAGAAAAAATACCATCTACACTTTTATAAAGACAGTAAGTTCCCCTCAGACATACATTCATATAAACTCTTACCCCTAAATTAATCGCGATTTGTTTAGCATCTCAACTGATTTGAATCGTCACATATTTGAATCGATTTTCAACCAGCTCGCGGTTAATCGTTACATCCCTAGCCGATAGACATTATTAGTATTGTGTATCGACGATAGTCAGAGATATCGCCTGTGGCTGATGCCTTTGATGATAGCAAGACAATTATTATTATTATTATTACAATTATTATTGTTATTATTATCAGGCTAGTAATACTATCTAATTAATATTAGGGCTTATTTTTTCCATCATCAAATCACGCCAATCATTGATTTTTTTTTTTTCAAATAGAGCTATTCAAGTCATCTGGTGATTTTTTTTTATATTGCAGTATATATTGCAGAAAAACAAAATATCGCCATGTGAGTTTTTCCAATATCGTGCTGCCCTACTATGGAGCATATCGCTCAACACTAACTCGTACACAAACTAGTCAACTAGTAAAACCACTATTTGAGCTTTTTAAGTTTCTTTGCTCTTTTGCCTGCCAAAGGCAACAATTAAATATATTTTCTCACTGAATATTCACCTAAATCTCACCACTACAAAAATGTTTGGGTAGTACTTACAGCTGGGTGATAAATCTATAATGATATCTGTCGGAAAAAAATAAATAATAAACTTATGAGAAATTTGGCCTACATCTACACATGTGTGTTGCTTGAAAATAAAGCTATCATTAAATTGTTAAATACAACACAAACTCACAGTTCATAACTACAAACTGCTAAAATAAAAGTTTGGTTTGACTTGAAGAAATTATGACAAATATTATTGTAGAGTAAATTGTACTTCTGAAAGTAAAATTATTATTATTCTTGTTTTAAAAATATCAAACAACCAATATGTTCATCCATGTTTTAATTTTGTACAGTATGCAAGTTTTGTTGTGTAACACCTTAATTGACAAAACAAAATGTTTAGTTGTAAAAGTGTTAGAATTTGATTACATTGTTAAATACAATGTGATTTAAACTGTTAAAGCTTTATGAATGAATTTCATTAAGCACCAGTTTGATGATGGAATTTGCTCTGTGTAAAACTGATTTACATCCGGAATTAAGTTCTTTCTCAGTCTTTAAAATTGGTTTATTAGTACAAGTATTACCTGATTTTCTCTTGCTTGTAATTGTAGGATCTTGATTTTACATCTATATATTCTGTTATTTCTTTTAGTCTGTGATTAACGTCTTTTTAATTACAAGAGAGTAAATCCTAATGATATTTATGGTTTGTCTTTGATTTACACTTGGAATTAAGATCCGTCTCAGGTGATCTGATCACAACAAGACAGATTTCTATTGACACCTGGTAGTCTCTCAAATCTCTTTTGACCACTCGGATCAGATTTTGAGTGAAGGGTCTCTGGTTTCATGACATTTTAGACCCTGTTTGACCACTTGTGATCATATCACCTGAGACAGATATTAATACCAGGTGTAAACGGGGTCATAGTTACATCAGGTCCCTTTCTGGTATCCTTGTGCTTATTGTGAGATGGTCATCACCATGACAACCAAGTTTAAAGATACAATATAAATTTACACAAAGAAGGTCTAATATTTACATGGTTATACTTTAAAAACAGTCTGTGTTTTGTCCATTGTAGGTGCCTTACTAAAACTGTGAGTTTTAGCTTAAAAATAGCTAGGGATAGTAGAAATGACTTCCTGTGGTGATGGACAAGTGCTGTTGATAGCTGAACTTGTATTGAACTCTGAATATTTCTTTAAACAAGCCAACTGAATAGACGTGCCATTCTGTGTTTTTATTCCCCAAGGTATTTCAATAGCTGTGATAGACGAGAATTGATTTTACCTTCCTCTTAACAGCCGTCTCACTCAGCGCAATAGATCTAACAATGTAATAGCATTCTACAAAAACAGGAAGTTTATTACTTGACCCCTCCGTGTGAATTATCAAATGTGCACTTCATATTTTACGTTACATTTGAGAAAGGAAATTATTGTCAGATATACAGC